ACAGATCATTTTAAGAAAAACATTTTTTAAAGGAAAAGGATGTTGTGGGTGTGGAGAGTCCAATGATCATTGAATAAGAAGATTTGAACCATCTTCTCTCGAAAAGTCAGCTTATCACAGCATCAATTGAGCTTTTATGCTGTAAGTATGTTTTGTTTAAATATAATTAACTTATGAAGATCAATCAACTAACATAATTACATTATCGTAGGTATCTCCATCGTTCGTGCATTACATTGGGCAAAGGTGATCATTTTGGATTTCTTTGCCTCATCACATGATGGAGAAAGGGAATACTTCTGAAATAAGATCCCAGTATCTCCAACAATGAATATGTGAAGTTAAAAAGAATGTTTTCATGGCTCTATATGCGCATTTGTAAGAATCAATTTACGATTGACAGTTGTTTTGTTAAATGTGGATTTCTTCTAATATCTCACTATATTTTATAGGGACCACTGGCAACTAATTGTTCTTTCATTGAAGAGTAGCACAGTCCTCTTCTTATGCTCCCTCTATTACAAACCAAACAAGGACATAAAGAAGATGATAGACTCATAAGTGTGCTTGTAAAAAACTATTAATTTTTTTAAATATATTAGTTACAAATCTCGTGATGTTGATTATAGGGCAAAGAAAACATATCAAATGATGGTCCTGAAAAAAGCACCCACATGAACTAAAGGATCCTGTATGGATTGAGCCAAAGGTAAGTTAAAACTAACACTTTATTAACATATTCAATTGTTAATATTTATTATCGATTCCTAATTGTTTTTATATAGAGTCGTAGGCAACCACTGAAGAGTAGTTTGTGTGGCATATATGTGATGAGGCACATGCTCAACATCATCACATTGGGAATGACTGAATTTACAAATGAGGTAACTATATTTTTTAAAAGCTAATTTTATTATTACTTGAATTAATTGGTTAATGTTTTAATTGCAATTTTATACTTTAATATAGATGTTTGACATTGCAGATCCATATTTTGAGGAAGAGGTTGACACATCCTCACACGTTGGGCACAATATTTTATAGATGGTATGTGAGGTTTAGGTAGTTTTTTAGGAAATTGTATAAGACAATTTGAGTTTTGTGTAATTTCTATAGAATTGTATTGAAATTTGAATTATTTATATGTACTTGAATTGGCTGGCTGGCAATAAATTGTATAGAATATTTTCATTTGCAAGAATTGAAAAAAACAACTAAAAACAGAATAATTTTTTTTAAAACCTGCCATGACCGATGTTAAAAGTCTACTTGCCGCAGCAAACAGACGCCCGCCGCGGCGTACATACCATTTCTCAGTTTTATTTTTTATGTTGAAATGCATGCAATTGGGATAGGAATGCTGGTGGGTTATGTCTACTATATAATTACGGGTGTGTATGATTTACTTCCGCTGTGTTTTTCTCTGATTGTGCTGTGAACTGATCAATTTTAAAAGTGGACTTTTAACATCGGTCATGCCATGACCGATGTTAAAAAGTCCTATTTTAAAAAAAAGCTTCAATGAGAAAGTTTCAACAACGGGTCTATGTCCACTGTTGAAAGTTCAATTTTAACAGCAGCTATACAACCATTGTTAAAAGTCACTTACATTTAACACCCCCTTAAAACAATAGCGGATGTGGAACTGATGTTAAAAGCATTTTTTTACCCATTATTAAAAGCCTATCCTGTAATAGTGAGCCTTAAACATGAGCCTGCTTCAAGAGGAGTGCCTTTCAATGACGCGGCTATGTTCTTCATGCCGTCATGCAGAGCCTGCATCATGATCTGCTGTCGTTCCTTCTCCTGCATTCTGATGTTTCCAGGGATAGTGCAAAGAACCTTTGGTTATCTTCCAACTACTTATTCATCCGGTCTTGAATTCCCTGCAGTACTTCTGCCACAAATCTATTGGATATGATCAGTGGGTTGGGTTGACCACTTCCTGACTTTGAGTCAGGGCTCGTGCTGCTGCTACCTGTCATCACTAGCACTATGTGCTCACGATATTTAGCTACTTCAGCATCAGGCGATAAGTATTCTGACCCTGGGTGTGCAGAGGTCCTTCTACTTCGTGAGAACTAGCACCTATTTCATCAGTCCTTTTATCTTTTTGCATCCTTGCCATCTTTGTTACACAAGTCCCACCGGGTGTGCCAAAAATTGTTCATGGTGAACAACAAATATCAGGCGTGCCAGAGATGCTGAGTCTCAATTGATAACAAAAGAGTCCCGAGCTCCCTTACCACAGTTTACTCGAATGTAAAAAAATACAAGACTTTAGTAGAACAAGTGTTCGATTGTTATTAAAATGTGAAAAGATTACAGACCTAAAACTAAAAATTAAATAAAAAAGCTAACGAATGTAAAATTACGAGTCTTTGATTGAGTTTAACTAGTTTCTTCTATATTTTCTTCTTCTATTTATAGTGTTAGAGTAACGGTAACCTCTTCCTTGAAACCTATAACATTTTGTCGAAGAATTATGGATCTCGTGAAACTGCTACCCATCCACCACCTTCATTGTCAATTTTATTTTCACTGCTATTTTTATTTCCCCTTCAATCCGTTTGGGGCACTGGCGTGTTTAGTTAACGCACATCCAATTTCGTACATGAAAAATTGAAAGCTTCCGATAGCTCTTCATTACCCTGGACTGGAATATTTAAATGTGGCAAAGTTGAGTACGTAAGCCAACCAGTTGCCTATAAATATGGGGATAGAGGAGGGTCTCTTCCTTCAATTCAATTACGCAAGCCCCTTCTCTGACTACCTGCAGCCACTAAGCATGGCAGACTCCACCCGCTTCGCCATCCAGCTCGCCTTGAAGGATGAGCCTCAGCTAATGGCTTCTCGTGACTTGTCCAGATGTTCCCAACCTTACAAAGGCCTCGAAATCGCCATTTGTGGCGACTTGACGGCTGAAACCGATTTCTTCGCCAAGACCTTCACCGCCCGCGGTGCCGCTGTTCGGTTGTTCTCCTCCACGCCGAAGGATCTTGATTGAGATAGCGATAGCACTCCCCATCTAACTATTCTTGGCCCCGGCGACATCCGTGAGAATAATACTGTGGGTGTGTCAAAGGAGATCGTCGCTCATGCCAAGAAACTTTTCGAGCATAAGAGCAAGGTACGTAATTAAAATCTACCATATCATTTGGGTTTTGTGTCCATTTTGGTTTACCATTATTTCAGTTTTGTAATAATTTTGCGAATGTTCTGTTCGATCTTGGTCCTGAAAGATGAGTTGAATATATACTTAGAACCCTCAAACTGTACCGCCATCTACACATGTTACGTGGTTGATATATGAATATTTTCAGTTGAATATCCGTGTTTTCCATTATTTTCTGTAACTTTTGCCTATTAAGAGTGGGTGATCGTGACATCTTTCTTATGTATTTTACATTGGTTCGAGTATATATCTACTGACACTTTCTTCCATTTTCTCGTCCCGTACGGTCACCATTTGGGCGTCGGATGAAGATGGGTCTTTCCTTTGCCAACCATGGAGCTGGGTCAACAAATGAACCGACTTCGGATTCAGATGAGGTTGTGGCTTCTCTTTCAGCTGCGAACCTCATCGCCGATGATCATCATGAATCGACCAATGATATACAGCCCGAGTTCACTAGTGTGTCCATTAATGAAGGCGATCATACAAACCTCATCGCTGATGATGGGATTGGGACGAGCTTCAGTATAATGGGGATGCTGCCTCGCAATTGGCGTATCCTTGTGATTCTTGTCATATTGCTCTGTTCTATGGCTGGGGTGGTTTCCAAGATTGTGTTCGAGTTAACCTGAACATAGAACACAGAAAAAAGTGACAAAACTTAAACAAAATGCATAAATTTAAAGTTATGTTTTCCTTATAAACAAGTGGAAGTGTCCCATGCGTTGCACAGGCAATTTGAAAAACATTTATTTTTGAATTATTAAATTTTTTAGACATAAATTATTAAGAAAAAAGATACATAAAATTTTATCCTATTAAAATTGTATAATTTTATTTGCTTTGAGATCCGCCTAAAAATTTCTTGTAAGATATAATTATGTATTAGTTCTTCAACAGGTTTGTTAAAATTGGAAGTTCTTGTTATTTTCTAAAATTACTTATTATCTTAATATCGTTGCTCTCAATGCATAAAGGACTTGAATACTTATTTAATTTTGATTTCCTTTCTCTTTCATTTAAAACGTGTCATGATATTGATGAATGAAAGAAATAAATGTTTGTGGTTGATTGCTCCATTGAATGGTTTCTCCTTTCTGATCTAAAACTTCATTATAATTATTATGATCCTATTTTCCTTTCTCATCTAAAACTTCATTATAATTATTTATGATCCTATTTTTCATGTAATCATATTTGTGCAAATTATCATAACTCATAAATGGAAACCCTAGTTTTGGATAGTGATGAAAAATTTATAAGAAACAATATAAAAGTCATTTTTGGTATTATCCCTTTTCAATTTTAATATCTCCAGGTTGTTTATTATTGAATAGATATGGCACATTTGATTTAGAAGAAAATATCTCTTAAATTAGTAATTATTCATATTTTCTTATTAAGAGGACATGGATGACATAATGAAATAAATTATAATTACTATAAAATATAATTGAATTGATTGGATGGTACTTTTATAACACGTACACATTTATTTTATGCCAACACATTCTCCCCTACGTGACACGGGAAAAATTTTATCCAAAAAAACAAAGGACCTGTTTCAATTTGAAAAATAATAATGTAGTGTGTATTAAAAGAAAACTAATTGAATTTGTTATGCGAGCAACCAAATCAAATTACTATGATAAATTAAATAAACAAAAATTGTTAAATGGATCCGAGAGGGATAAAAAGAGAAGTAGAAAATAAGAAAATATCAACCCAGTAACATAACAAAAGAAAAGAATTCATTTCAAGGATATTAAAAACAAATAAATCTACAACAAATACAGACAAAATAGATCAAAAATCAAAGAGAGCCTTGTATACATAACAACATATCAATATAAAATTTCCATCAATGATATCAATACATAATTTGTTATTTTCCTCGTGGTCAAATTGTATAGTTTGGACTTGAAGATAGTATGATGCAATGTTAATATGCCTAAATGCATTGTCCCGTTAAAGCCTCAATTCCATAGTAATTGCATTAATTTCTGAGATCATATAGGTGAAAGTGGCTCAATTTATAATAGAAACCAACAACCCATTCATTTTGTTTCCCACTATCCCTCTACATGTACAAAATCCTGCTCCATTCACTTAGCCATCAATCTCCAATAAGCAAATTCAATGGTAAAATCCTACCGCACATCAAACTTCTTCTCCCCACAGTTCTCAAGTTCAGAGTGTCCTTCAATCGGTAGTCCTACTAAACCCTGAAGAATGCTTCTCCCATATTGGTGCAACTCAGGTTTTCCAACTTAATAATCATACCTTTAAACTAAATTAGCATCCCCTCTCCATGCACTTCTATATCATAACATGTTCATGATATAAAATCTCAAAGAAATGGAATCTTTTGCAAAGGTGCCTACAAAATTGAAGAATTGGTACTCCAACAACGCAACTGAAGGTAGACAAGGAAACTGTTATGGTCACAATTCAACACGAGATTATGCGTAATACTGATCACAAAATGAACTACTCATGCTGCATTATTCACAATTCCACCGTAATATATGCCTAAGTAGAAATTACAGCAAAAGTCAACAGAGCAACAGAACAGAACATTCAAGAAAATATCATAGGGAAAGGAAGAACAGCAATACAGAGAAAAGATTTTAGCTAACAAACCCCATAACCCTTTCCACCTGTGTTTCCCACCTCACATACCCTCATTTGCGATGATCTTCCATGATGGCTTGCAATTCCGTTTGCTTCTCCAACAAACTCTTTTTGTCTCTTCTGCCAGTTGGACATCCACGTGACCCGTGTTGTTATGCTGCTAATTCATCATTTCAACCACCAACCCATCATCTCCCATGGCATCCACAACAGAAACCTGTGATGATAAAAATAAAAACTGTAGTCACGCATTTGTAATAAATTCTAAGGGGTTAAGCCCAAAATACTTTTTCTTTAGGAAAAAAATGAAATTGCACTTTACACCACCATGTCAGCAATGTAACATGAGAAGTTTGCTCCCACTGTATTAATAACTCTCATCCAAATTCAGAACATGTTAAGGCAACTCTGGCAATCTTGAATACCGAGTCAAGTGCCCAACTGCAGGTTTGCAGTTTTAAGCCAGTGTCAAGTGCCCACAAGACTAAATTTTGCTTCCAACTCAAATTTAAATGGCATGAGATCCAGCCCAAGAACCATAATTCCAACCAATCTTATTTTAGAACTCTCTGGTCAGTTTATTCTCACTAGAATTTTTTGTCAATTATATTAAACTTTTTTCCTACACACTTTCCACAACACAACTAAATCTTAGTCTACATCCTCAATAGACCTTGCTATTCTTGGAAAGCCAAGAACACATATATGCATCTTTCAAAATCCAAGTTTGAACCTACCTTGCAATTGACATTTTAGAAATTTGGCGAAGACAAATCATTCATTGAAATATTTCAATGACTTTTCCATCTAATAAGTATCTAATTATTCTAAACTTTAGCTTTTTTGTAACAGATATGCCTTATTCCCTATCTAGAGAGTCAGTCAATAAGCATAAACAATGTCTGACATAAATAACCAAATATCTAACCCAATCACAATCCATTACTATTTGGAGCTAGAAAGAGATCATAAGCATATCACCTCAACCTGAATTCCAAAGGAATGGTCTTCACAATAGCCAAACTCATTACTAACAACCATACCTTCCAATAAAGAGGTCAAATTTCTTTAACAATAACTGATACTTTGCGCGTTCGTGAACATAGTCCATTGAATTCTAGAAATGTATGTTACAACCATACACCGTAAAAAGTTAAACAAATTACAGCTCATTTAAAAGGCGGACGGCCCTTCCCATTTGAACTTGTTTCTTTAATTTCCATTATTTCCCTCACATTTGTTCTCAAAAATCAACTAGATGCCTAATTGGCAAAGCCCATCTCCAATCATGATCATCTATAAAACTAAACCAAAGAATAGAAGTTGAAAAATAATTATTTTAGCCTTGCTAAGAGATTAAAGGGGCCATCAAAAAGCTTTGAAGGTACTCATAATTAAAAAATTAGTTACATTCATAGCTAACTTGATTTAAATAAACCACAAATAGTAAAATATATACTATTTATCAGTTTCACATTATCACTTTGACAGTTTACAAAAACTTTATCATGATTCAACTTCGAAGTGGGAGTTTAGAATTTTCCAGTAAGAACTTGTATATGCTAGCAATCACAAACGTTCTCGTTCCATTCAGGTTACAAATCTAAAATGTAGGAATAAGAGCTTCAAGAAGGCACTTACATAGCCCTCAAAGTTATTCAATGTTTAAAGCAACAAATACATATACACACACTTCAAGGTTTTACACTCTTTAATTTATTCCAAACACGTGGTATGTAATAACAAAGTTTTACCCAGAAGGACTCAACACAGAACCCTTCCTTAAATGGGTAACTCATTATGAAATGATGAGCGACAAATACATAGTGGAATGTAAAATTTGCTATTCCAAACTGAACATACGTAGAAGCTCAAAGTAGAAAGTAATCTTTTACCTAAAAATAGGCACTTACATAGCCCTCAAAGTTATTGAATGTAAACATGGGAAGGACTCATCCATGGTCAGAAACCTAGACAAATCATGTGAAAAGAGAAAGACCTTAGGATAGAAGAAGAAACTTGAAAGAACACATGGCATGATATATATTAGATAATGAAGCCCCACAAATCAAACCAACAACGAACAACTCAATCAATTTCATTTCAATATATTTACCCTTAAAAATGCTTGTAGTATTTCTACCCTCTCCACCAATTGTAAAACCAAGTCTCTTGATTGAGGATTCCCACTAGACTTGCCACTCAGCATTGGCAAGAGAATAGATACCCACAAATATAACCCCATAACCAAATCTCCTTGAGAAGCCTAGACAAAAAGAATCACTTTTCAAAATTCACATAATAAATTCGTTTATATGGGAACGTACTCAATTATGTTGGAAACAGTTACTTGAGCAGTGACATAAACAGCAATAAGGAGTTCATCCTATCCTTGAAATTTTGTAGTCTCCTTAATTGTGGGCAATAAGCTGATCATGATATCAGATTTTTATCTAATAGAAAAAACACACCATGTTTTCATTACTCATTTGTTATCCAAATGATATGGTATATGTATATATATATCATATGTAAGACATCATCAAAACATTTAAAATTATTACCAGCTTGAAGCATATGTCAAGAAAAAGTTATGCAACAATGCTGATAAAATTAATCAATCTAAGAAAATAGGACAAAGAAGAAACTATAGAAACCCTCCCACAAACAGATAAACGCCAACACAGTTGCAAAATAGGTAGCGAATTTTCTTACAAAACCATAGGGATAATTATTAAAGAAAACATGAAATAATAAAAGTACAGGGATTAATTTGTTTGAATGAATATTTAATTATTCAAAACCTTGATCTCCCCTCATTTTCATGTGCAAATATGATAAATTCACACCAATTATGCATTAGAAAAGTACATCTCAGGCCATTGCCACTGCCATCGATGTTAAAAGTAATTATAACTAATATGTAGGTAAGTAGCTATTAAGTAGAGACTCAAACTGCTCTCAAATTCAGTATGCTTCAACTCCCAGATATTAGGTAGTATGGTATGATTTTCAAAAGCTAACTAAGACATAGATGATGCTTGTTGGGCCTCATTTTCAGCTACCTTAGTAGCTCCTTAATGATTGGCAAGGTCTACAAGAATGCTGTCCCATGACCATAACACAAAAGATCCAGGTGCTTCAGAAGAACACTGGCTGATCCAATCAATTGATATTTTGTATATATCCTCAGATATGTGTAAAAGAGGCATCTATATGAAGGGAAAAACAACATAATAATAGAAACCAATGATAACCATGGACAATTGTATTAAATTATTTTTTATTGGTTGGGGCCAAAGACTGAAATAGCACCTAAACCTAAATCCAACAAAACCATAAGCCCAAAGCTTAAAAAAAGCCATAGAAAGAAGAGAGTTTAAGATGATAATGTGAAAAGAATCAAATGGAGAGAGACGGTAAGAAAAATAGAAGCAAAGAGAGGAGATGATAGAGAGAACAACCAAAATCATTTTGACCGTCTATGTCTTGGGATGAATTCAAAGTACCAGTAGGCATTGGAAGTTAAATAAATGAGTACTAGAACATTCTACACCTGATGAAGGCAGATAGAATGTTATCAACCTATGATATGTTATCAAAATTTTATTCATAGGTAAGCTATCAAATTTTATTCATAATATTTTATTCTAATATGGTTTGTTATGACATACAGTTCAACACTTCATAATCAAATTATTTAAACAATACAATCAAATCATAGTGAATCTAAACTGGATTTGTCATTTCATCTTGTGAATGCGATTACTAACCTGCAAATACAGCATTCCTCATACTAACCTGCAAAAACAGCATTCCTCACAATGAAATTGCCCTTTATCTGTCTGCAACAATAGAAACAATGATTCAAATGTTGATACAAAAGATAAAGTAATAAAATCTCAATGTAGTTCACTTCATCTAGACTTTAGATAACTCACTTGAACAAAAGAAACATCTTACATCATCGTCATAGAATTTGAAAATCTCACAATAATATTCTCCCATGTTGACACTAAAAACAAAAACACAATTTGGCAACCTGAATTATCAAGGACATAGGAGAACACCAAATAACATTTCAAATAGTTCACAAATCAGGGATAGAGAACATCACGTGACACAGTAGTTTAAATTAACACTCAAAGCACTTAATTTTACAAAAAGTATGTTTATCAATATGCAACAGTAAACCGAGCATTTTTGCCCAAAAAGTTACTAAATATTGAGCATATCTCCTAATGCTATAAACTGAACAACTCTTACTCTTTATCTCACTTAACTCGTAGGCCATATCGAATACTAAAACAGCACCAAATGCGGTAAGGACAAGAATAGACCTTAAATAAACTGCAACAAATGGAGAACAGTCATATCAGATCATTGATACACATGCTCATAAACATTTTAAAAGAAATACACACAACAGGAAGGTACTATTGCTATGACCAAGAAAAGTTCCAACTTATTTAATTCTTTTGCACGGATCCAGGCAAAGCATTTTTTGTCATGCATAACAAAAGCACAGAAGATTACAAGATGTATAATAGTTTTCTTGCCCGTCTTAGCCACTTTCCTTCCAAGTCACACTTCCTCATTCTTATTAAATGCGAATAATTAGTTTAGATATTTGAAGGAATTGGACGAATATTAATATGAACGAAGGGGAAAAATGAACTTACAGAAAAATGACCCTTTGTTGTGTACAAAATTTATTAGAATATATGTTATCAGTATTATATGTCCGTTGGGTTTTTCTGATAGTCCGTTAGTTATTCAGGTATAAAGACCCACTTTAATTAACCCACTTGTGATCACTCTATATAAGTGCAATGCTTGTAACAGATAAGTTTGAGCCCTCAAGAATAATACACAGCTATAATATTTTCTCTCTGCTTTTTCATTAAAATTAACATCAACAGATTCAAATTACGTTAAAGATAATTAGAACAGTTAAAAAGATATACTGTCGGAAATCAGTAAGATTGAGAGTACAGTTTATAAAATCCATATGCAGATTTAAATTCCACTCCGTGGAATGTAAACAGTTCCCATATAAAATTAATTTCCACCACAGGAATTTGTGAAACTTCAAGGCAAGAGGCTCTAACATGATGAACATGTTAAAATAAAATATAGCATCACTTGCAGCTAAAGCGTTAGATTAAATGAGTTCTTGACCATTCAGAATTGAAAATAGTTACACTTTTTTAGCTTAAGAAAAAATAAAATCAGGAAGACAACTAAAGCTTTAGATTAAAAAGAATGCAAGCTATTTTTTTTAGTTACCTTTATAAGCTTGTTGCAGCAGCTTGATCAACTTCGATAGTTTCTCTCACTTGAAAACCCTGCATTCACACCACCACCAATTAGATCACTCTGAATATAGCCGATCATTGACAAAACCACAAAAAAGAAAGAAAACCAAAAAGCAATACCAAAAAACCAAACAACAAACCAATGGAAATGCCTCAAATTCCGACAGACATCAACCTTTTAAGAGATATCAAATTTGAGAGATAGATATAGGAGGAATAGTTAGAGAGAGCTGGAAGATTTAAGAGAGACTGCAGGTTATAGGGAAAGGCCGAAGATATAGACCCATTTACATCGGTAGGATAAAGCAAAAGATGTGAGAAAATGGGCACGAACCACCTCTTCCAGAACATTCTCAAAGGACCTAGATATATTTAAAATATCTCTACATCAAATGAATTTTCCTGATTTAATTATAAAGATAATAATTGTTTTTCGGATATTCTCATAGCATCAAGATTTATGTGGGAGATATCTACACCGACTAAATTTAACTGATTTAAGTTTAAATTTAATATTCAATATCAATTCCAGTAACAGTCAATGTTTTAAGGTAACTAACAAAAGGCAAGAGTCCTAAAAATTCTTTAAAATTAAGGAAATAAAATAACAAACGAAACTCCAAAATAATAAGTATATCACGAATAAGTTAATTGGAAAAAGAAAAAATTATATTTACTTGGTTCAGTGATATAGTGAATCGTTGTTTTCATAAAGTAAAAATGTTAAAATTTTATATAACACTGCTCGTCTCTTTGTAAAAAAAAAAAAACGTTTTTCATAAAAATTTTCACTGCGTAGTGCAAGCAGAATTATAATTCGTTTATTCCGATCACTACGATATAATATTTTTGTTATTTTTTTTTGGGGGGGGGGGGATTTCAACTTAATTAATCAATAGATTTGTCGCATACATTGTTTCTGCAAAAGAAAAAAAAAATAAAAAACCTTAGATGCATACAATATATCAGTTAACAGTTAACAATTCATAGAAAAAATTAACACCCACCTAAGTCAGATCTGTAGTTCGACTAAGTGTGTCATTAGGAGATTCTTTAGGTATATCAGTAAGGGAGACACTGGACGGAGATTACAAACTCAATCTACATGCCATGAAATCTGTTTCATCGAGCTCATCGTTCATTAATATGTCCGTTTATCGTCGAGAGAAAAGAAAGGAGGAAGGGGATGATAGACTTACAAGATGTCAATGAAAGCCCTCACCAAGAAAGAGCGGAAATTGGACCAATTAAAAACGCATCTGGTGAAAATCGTCCACCCATGCTCCACCGCTTTTACAATTTCACGTCGATTAAACTCGCTCAACTGACACAGATTGCAGAGGGAAAGGGCTAAATTTGGAAGACGAAGTACCTCGCGAGCTCCAGAAGTTGTCGCTCTGCGATCTTGTGTGCGCAAATCACATTTCCAAACACATTTTCCGAAGCAAAAGTATAGCTAACAAAGAATCAGAGAGAAAGAGTCAAGATCATGACATTGTTGAGAAGTTAGGGTAAAGGCTTACCGGTGCCACTTAAAAACGGAACTCGCATACCAGTCTCGGTCTCGGTCTCAGATCAGGCTTCTTAGGTCTTAGCTACCAAATCTCTCTCTCACGCTTTCCTTAACTTCATCTGGTAGTGAAGACAGAGACTGAGGGAGAGACGGTGATGACAGAAGTTTGGTTCAGGGAGAGGGCACTCTCCATCTACTTTCCTCCATTTTCCTCCACCTCTTCCATTTTCATTATTCAAATCATTTTATTAAATAATTTTTTAAATAATAAAATTTTTACTATTCAAATTATTTTATTAAATAATTTTTTAAATAATAAAATTAATAGATGGTGAAAAAAAAATGAAGAGATTTATTTCCGCTCCAAAAGCTGTTCCTCCGACAGAAAATAATAGCTGACAATTAAATGACTCACACCAGAAGGATATTTAGGAAAAAAATACTGTAGATAAGCCACACCAGGCAGGGCCATTGAAGAAAAACACTGTAGATGAACAGTGGCGCTGAGGGTGAGAGGGTGAGAGGGTCGTGAATGGGAAGGGACGAAATGATCTGGAATGCGAGGAAGAAGATGACATTCTTCCAAAACCAAAATTTAAATTACCAACAATCTGCGAGACCCACGGCAAAAGGTCATTCATGGAGCTGAAAAAACAGGTGAGTTCAATCCTTAAATATTTGAGCCTTAAAACTCAATTTCTTATTTTTAGTATCATTTTATGTGAATTCTTCCTTCTATTAAAAAATATATGATACTTTTAATCCAATCACACTCCAAGATTAATAAATTAATTAACTGACTTTAAACTTTATATCTTAACATGTGATTAAAACATAAGTTATTTTACCTAGGACCAAATATGATTAAGGGACCAAACTTTTGGATTTAACTATCTAAAAATAATTTATTTTGATATTAAATGGGTCCTTAATGAGTTTTGAAAAAGTTTGCGCAAAAATTAGATTGAATATTTTGGACATTTTAAATTTTGCCAAATTTACTCCCTTTTCCTCTCACTTTATTTTAGCTTTTTAAAATTTAACATTTTTAATTTATTATAAAAATTGAATTTTTTTATAATTTATAGATAATAATTAAATATAGACTATTTAAATTACAATCTAAAATTCAATATTTTTTAAGACAATTAGGAACAAAAATATATATTGTAAAATTATTGCCTTTTATAGTCATCATACATCTAAATTTGCTTTTAAATTTTATCAATCAAATAAATTACAATTTTTCAAACTGACTTAAAAATAATTATTCAAATATAAATCATAATAGAATCTATGAGCTGAAGAGGGAAAAAAAATTTAATGAAAAATATTTTAACATGTTGCACAACTTTGAATATTTCAACAAAAATATTATAATTGTTAATATCTAAAATACTTTACTCAACTATCCCATATATTTTTGAATTTTATTTGATGACTTCTATCTCAATACATTTTCAGCCTTATGTTTGCCTCCTCCTTTAGCGAAAATATCCAACACATGATGAGCTGATTTTAATTAATCATGTATTTATTTTTATAAGCTTGAGAATGCACGGGATCCCATTAGCAACAATTAATGCATTTAGTTAATGGAGGCATCTTCATGTAGGCTTCAAGAAATCAACAATTTTAGGCACCAGAATAACCCAATTCAAAGTCAATCCCCCAAATTAAAGAACTAATGAGATTGGAATTCTAGAACAATGTTTGAAAATAATATATTTTGAAATATCCAATCCACAAGGAAAACACCAAGTATATTTATTTTGTACTTGACTCACTTTTCCAATCCCTACTGAGCAAAATCTTAATATATATCTATATATAGATGTGTGTGTGTGTTACATAAGTCATGATTCTTTGAGCCACGATCAAAAGGTGACGAGGTCTCTTGATCTCTTTGGAACCTTCCAAAATGACCACCAGATCATTTAAGTAAAAGTTCAACAATTCATGCGCATCCTGACAAAAGGAGAAAGAGAAGATCCATTTTGACAAAATAAAAAAACATAATATAACCAGCACTAGATTCAGTTAATCAGACAGAATAAACAAATAATGCAAGAACTATCATTTATGAAGAAAAAGACATCCATTAATCAACAGCAGCAGCAGCAACAACAACAACAAGCCTTTATCCCACTAGGTGGGGTCGGCCACATGGATTACAAGACGCCATTGTGCTCTATCATTTATTAAGCTTTTAGGAATATTATTAATTAAAAGATCGCGTTCAATAACTTCTAAGAGTGCTCTCTTAGACCTTCCTCTACCTCTCTTAATCGGACTCAAAGTTATATGTTCCACTCTTCTCACTGGTGCCTCCCTTGGTCTTCTTTGTACATGCCCAAACCATCTCAACCGATTTTCTACCATTTTTTCCTCAATAGGTGCCACCCTCACTTTTTCGCGTACGTGCTCATTTCGAATTTTATCTTTACGTGTATGTACGCACATCCATCATAACATTCTCATCTCTGCTGCTCCAATTTTATGCTCTTGTTGTCCCGTTAGAGCCCAGCATTCACTACTATATAACATTGCCGGTCTAATAGCAGTGCAATAAAACTTTCTTTTAAGTTTATTAGGCACCTTACGGTCGCAAATAACTTCTTTAGCTTTTCTCCAATTAAACCATCCAACTTGAATTCTATGTGAAATATCTCCACTGATTTCGCCATCGTTTTGAATAATGGCTCCCAAATATCTAAACTTTTTCACTTAAGGTATAATTTGATCTCCCAATTTCACTTCCAAATTATTGTCAAATAGTCCTTTACCAAATTTACAATATAAATATTCCGTCTTACTTCTACTCAGACGAAAACCTTTCGACTCCAATGTCCTCCTCTATAATTCAAGTTTGCAATTAACCTCTTCTCTTGTCTCTGCTATAAGATCTATATCAACCGCGAAGAGCATACATTTCGAAATTTCCCCTTGAATATGTTCCGTCAAAACATTTAAGATCAAGTTGAACAAATAAGGACTCAGAGATAATCCTTGATGTAGTCCAATCTTTATAGAAAAATTCTTTATTTGACCACTAGGCGTTCTTATACTAGTTTTTATCCCCTCATACATATCTTGTATGGCTTTAATATAAGCAATTCGTACTCCCTTTTTTTCTAATGCTTTTCAAAGCACTTCTCTTGGCACACGGTCATAAGCTTTTTCCAAATCAATAAAAACCATGTGTAGATCTTTATCTTTACAACCAAACTGATTCTCAGAAATACTTGTCTCTAATCTCAACCTGTGCTCAATTACTTTCTCCCACAATTTCATTGTGTGGCTCATGAATTTAATCCCTCTATAGTTAGTACAATTCTGAATATCTCCTTTATTTTTATAAATAGGAATTAATATACTTCTCCTCCACTCATCAAGCATTTTTTTAGACCGTAAAATCATATTAAATAACTTAGTTAACCATCTCACCCCTTCTTCACCTAAACATTTCCACGCTTCAATAGATATACAATCAGGTCCGTTAGCTCTACCATTTGCCATTTTCTTAAGAGCTTCCTTTACCTCCTTATCACGTATTATTCAATAGAATGACAAATTTTATTCTCCTTCACCAGTTACTAAATCCTCCAAGTTACTAGATGAACCCTCTCCATCATTGAAAAGTTTAGAAAAGTAAATCTCCCATCTATTTTTAATTTCCTCATCTGTAACTAAAGTTCTTCCCTCTTCATCCTTAATACACCTTACCTGTTCTAGATCTCTTGATTTTCTTTCCCTACTCTTGGCAATCTTATAAATATTTTGCTCTCCTTCCTTCGTCTCAAGGCTCTTATAAAATTCTTTAAAAGCTTTAAAACGAGCTTCACCCACAGTTCTCTTAGTTTCCTTCTTAGCCATACGGTACCTCTCCCAATTTTCCTCATTGTTACACAAATGTATAGCTTTAAAACAGTTCCTCTTATACTTGATTTTGTCCTATACACTATTATTCCACCACCAAGACTCCTTATCTCTCGGACCAGAACTTTTTAATTCTCCCAAAACTACTTTTGCACCCTCCCGTATCTTTTTAACCATATTCTCCCACATGATGTTAGCATTTCCCTAAGATTCTCAAATTCCTTTATCCAAATGATTTCGCTTGAAAATATCTTGCTTCTCACCTTTTAATTGCCACCACCTAATCTTTAGTGCTACTACTTGTCGATGTTTTTGAATTTTACTCATAATACACACATCAAGGACTACGACCCTATGTTGTGTCGTTACAGCATCTCTGGGGATCACCTTGCAATTTTTACAAAATCTTCTATCTGTGTTCCTAACCAAAAGAAAATCAATCTGTTACCTTGATGCTCCACTTTTGTAAGTGATGAGATGTTCATCTCTCTTCTTGAAACAAGTATTGGCAATCTTAAAATCATACGCCAATGAGAAATCAAGAAAAGTTTGTCCTTCATTGTTTAGCTCTCCAAAACCAAAACCACCATGCACCCTCGTATACTGACCAGCTTTCCTCCTGACATGCCCATTAAAGTCTCCTCCAATAAAAATCTTTTCACTCTGTGATAAGTGTCGAATCAATCCCTCCAGATCCTCCCAAAATAATTCCTTAAGACTGGCTTCTGTCCCGACTTGCGGCGCATAAGCGCTGACAATATTAACAGTCTCACGTCCAATTATCATTTTTAAGGAAATAATTCTGTCTCTAATTCTGCTAACTTCTACAACGTTCTTCTTCCACTCCTTATCAATAATGATGCCTACTCCATTACGTGCAGTTACTTTTCCTATATACCAAAGTTTGAAACTTTGAATATCCTTAGCTTCTTCTCCACGCCATTTTGTTTCTTGCAAGCAAAGGATATTGATTTTCTTTTGAATCATAACCCCTACAACCTCTACAGATTTACAATTCAATGTCCCAACATTCCAAGTACCAAATCTAATTTTGCTCTCATGGACTAACTTTTTTAACCGCATGCATCCAGAATGACGCGGTAACCCTTGCTCATTTAACACTACATCCGAGCGCCGATGCAGCGGCTCTAACTCACTTATCACTGTACTCGAGCCATGCAGCGCGTTACTTACGGACAACGACCTAGCATTAACATTATACCGTCTATTGTCCATGTTCATGATAGATTCAACAAAGTTTTACATTGGCTGTTGATGACCTAACACAACCCTCCTCCTTTACCCGAGCTTGAAACCGACTATAAATATAGGCGGAGTTAAAAAGACATCCATTAATCAACTGGAGAAAAAAATTTCATTAGAATGTACACTTTGTCATAACTCAAAATTAAATAACCTCACTCATCAAACATTAGTCTCCAAAAAAGGTAAAACCATACCCCAATCATCGTTTGACATGTAGCACCAGCACTTTTAAATAATAAAAGAAAAAATAATATCACATACTCTTATTCTTTAAAGTTGGATGGAAATGCTTGAGCTTATAAAGTTAGGGTCCATTATTAGAAGCAGCAGCAACATAATATAAAGAAAATGCTTGAGCTTATAAAGTTGGATGGAACAAAGACATTTAAAATGACATAAAACCTGTTACGCTGGATCAAGCCACAATTTGAGTTCTCTAACTAAAATTTCTACGCCATCAATTTAGGACAAGGTAAAGTGGATCGGATGAAATCAATACCAGAGTAAAGAAACAAATCAAATGTGTGCATATTTCAATAACTCGCCATGAAAAATGTCTTCCTAAATACAAATCCAACACAAGGGATAGCTTAAAAAGATCTCCCTCAAATTCATATGATTAGCAAAATTGACAAAGTATATAAAACTTTCATACAATCGCTTATGAAGTGGCTTTAATTTGATCGATGTACATTCAAGTTTCCATCATTAATGAAATATTTTTGGAATAACTAAAACTTATTCATCAAGAATACCTTAGTTCATTGCAAAATACCATACTTCTTACAAATTGACATCATAAAAATAAAATATCCGTTGGAGAAAAAAAAAGAAGATTTGAAAAAAATTTACTTGCTAACTAATTCGGCTTCAAGGACTCCAAGAGAAGCAACCTACCATAAGCCACACTCAACCTGAAGAGCATTGTCAATTTCATAAAATGCTATAGCTGAAAAATATAAAGGGGGAAAAGAAAAGAAATGGATTGAAAAATTTCCATAAATTTGGCTTTCCCTTCTGCTAAAAGCTTATTGACACAAAAGACCATTAAATAGTCACAAAGTTGTAGATAGAAAGCAGGGAAAAGAGAAGAAAATTGAATCATAAATTACTAACTCCAGATTTAAAAAGAGTATTTAAAAAGAACCTGTAAAGTACTGAGAAAAAAATGAACCTGAGTTCTTATATGCTGAGCTCTTCTACTACCCATAATCCATGTTGTGGTAACAGTATTACATAGATTTTGTGTAAAACCCAATGATTACTTTTCTTAGTTATAAATGCCTTATTATCCTTCAGTAGCAAGTCACATAAGCATTTTACAAAAGAAGAAACAACATATCTTCTATTGGAAAAATGCTACTTCAATATGGAAACACCTTTAATAGTGAATAAATGTTTGGTGAAATTTATACATGAATCCATGATCTTTTTCCCCAACATGTAGATTATAAGGTAAAGTTCGCAGCAGCATTAGAGATTTCTCATTAAATTATATCATGTTTACTTTAGATTTTTGAAAATTAGCCTTATTGTCAACTGCAAATGCCTTTTAAACCTTCTTTCACATCGGCATTGCACAGGGCTCTAATGCAAATGTTATCTAGAACAGAAGTTGACTGACTTAGTCATTAAAAAAGATGAAAGCCCAAAAATATATACAAATAACAAAATCACATTGGTACCTCGATGCATTCCTTTCCAGTCATTTTATCCTCACCTATAACTGCATCCACAAATTTACTCATAGCAACAATAAGAGCTTGTTTACTAATAAAATATAGTATTGGGTAGCTTCTCAATAATAACACAAAGTAAGAATGCTGCTATATAGATCTTGTTACAAGCAGAGTCAAGAAGATATGATACAGAAAGATAATAAATTCTTATCTCCTACCTAATTTGCAGCTCTCCTCACAAGTTGAATTATAGTATACCATACAGATGAATTATAGTGCACCATCAAAGAAAACTAATATCTTTTTCTCTTGAAATATGGAAATCAAATGGTAACTCTTTTTCCCATTGATGCTGCAGATTGCTAAAAAAAAAATTAAGTTTAGCAGCTTATGGATATTACCGCAGATGCTAAACACTTAATTCACACCTTGTACACACTTACCATCATGCATCATAGCATAGCATCAAAGTTGTTCTTCAACAGGTATATCAGTCTGAAATCCTCATAATACTTACAAGGAAGTCCCTAACTCTTCTACCATCCCCATCTTGGCCCGGATTTGCCAAATTCCCTCTCCCAAAAATCATCAAAAATGAAAATCCAAGAAGAAAATAGATAAAGATGCAAATAAGCTATAGGAAAGATACATATAAAATTCAATCAGCACCAAATTACATGGCATATGATTCATACTAGCCATCAAAGAAGGAGATCACTCTAAAAACATTTGAGATAATTAATAGGTTGTTCATTATTCATCGATATTTAGTTTTTATTTCAGAGCTTCAAAATGATTTCCCACGAGTCAAAAAGATTTTCTAGCAATGGCTATCAATGGAAATGCATGGCTAATAGCTTTAACAGTTTATTTATTTAGATTATATTCCCATCCTAATTTTATAAATTAATCTAGTAACCAAATTCCTTGCAAACCCTCAAAAGTGATCAACAATGAGGTTTTTATCCCTCAAAAGTGATCAATGACAATGTCCAGAAGTTAGAAGTAAACAAATCCAGAAGTAGGATTTTCAGTCAGAAGAGGTTTGCAATTGACTAAAGACATAGCTTGGCATGAGAATGAAGAGAAATTAGCATAACAGCAAGCTCGTTCAGTCTCCAAACCACAAATCAATCATCAATCAACTAACATTAATCATGAAGTACAATGAACAGTGACACGCATAATAAGAAAATTAAGCTTATAGTTAAAAAAATGCAGCTCAACAAAGCATTTATTCCAAACAATAAACAATATTTTGTCAAAAATAATGTAGTTCAACAGAGTCTTTATTCCCAACGACAAATAAAAATAAGAGGAAACACAAGGAAGGCCTTTCATACCTTAAAAGAAGTCGCCTTATGAAGGGATCACCTAAAATCTGTCCCCAAACAGGATTAAGCGTGTCTGTTGTCGCTAAAGCCAGTCCCCAGTCGTTTAAAAATGATAAAAGCAGCTTGTCAGCTTTGTTATATGTGCCTTGACAAGGAAATTGAACTCTATAAGAGACCCCACAAGTGGAGAAATTTCCTACCTCCAAAAACAATAAAATGGAAAAAAAAATGAGGTCATTTGTTAACCACCATGTCAATATCATTGCCTCAAAAACCAAGCAGTAGACAGAAAGCTTGCAGTGGAGCTGTTAAAAACATGGTGAACAAGCTCCCATGCATATAATGGACCAAAATTTTTTACCATAAAATATAGAAAACGAAATTTCTTCTAAAATTACCAAAGACAGATGTCAAAACAATATTTAGTTATTAGATGTGTAGTCTTCACATACATTAATAAATGAAACCTTTATCCTAGAGAAGGAAAATTATGAACATCATTTAGGAACTCTCATCCCTAATTACGAACAGCCTACCATTTGTATTAGCACTGAAGAGATTTGCAAATGAAAAGGACAAGAAAACATGGACTTCCTACATCCAACTAATTTTGGAATTAAAAGTATATACATACAAAACATAAAATTCAGCCAGGAATAGGAGATATTCATTCCACAAGTGTCTTCGGTTTCCACAAGAAAATTTGAAAAATGAAAAGGTAAGAGAAGGACATAAGAGTTGATTCCTGCCTAAAATATAAAATAGTTTATGCAAACTATACTCAGGTGTGTACTCTATCAAACCATTCTTTGGAATTCTATGAGATGTCAAACTAAAAGCAGTGATAGCAAAGTTCAATAAGAGGATTCAATGAAACGGACTACTCATAAATAGGATGATATATAATGATTGAATGAATATGTACAGATTCATTAACATGCGTTTATAATATTGAAGGAAAGCTTCGTTAGGATAAAATATCAATGTTATAACCAAAATTCTTCAGAGGCAAGGCAGACAAGCAGATTATTATAGCTAATCTTATACCTTATTAGGAGATAAAACCTGAAAACTTTATTGCACTCAGCCTTGTATGTTCCTTATCTTGGTGTATTGTCTTTTCAGATAAGTCTTGGAACCTATGTCAATTTTAATTGCATATACCAATAAATGAATTACATTTATAAAATCATGAAGGTAGTAAAAATAAAAAAATTCAAAAGGAAGAAACGACTAGATAGAAAATAAAAGGCATGAAAAGCATTATAAGCATCATATAAATTATCTCATCACACAAACTCGAAGAAAGGAAGCCACAAAAAAAAATAATTACAACATATTAAGGAACAGAAATACACATAAAGATTGAGAAGAATGGACAACAGAGAACAATGACAATATGAAAAACAACGAATAAACAGAACAAAAAAAATTACTAACCTTGGGCTAATGCAACAAATATGGAAAGCCGTATAGAGGTTTTTAAAAAAAAAAATCATTGCCACACAAACAAAGAAAAAAATACAAATATGGAAAAAAAAAAAAAGTATACTCACAATGGTCTTCTATAATCCTCCCCAAGTTAATGATAGAAAAAAGGAAGTAAGAGTAAAGATTGCAATGAATTATATTGTTATTGGAATAAAGGAAAAAATGGAGCTTATAGTAACAAAAAAATCATAAATATAGTTTAGAATATTAAGTAATGACAAGACAAAAAAAAAATACGACCTAATATTTATAACCTCTCTGCCACAACACAAACTATGGTTTGATTCACATGCCTCTGTCCGTTCATCTATTGACACCAGCTCCACCTCATTTATTAAACGTGACAAAACCTGAAATATAAATTCATAACCTCAAGAAGATCCAGTTATAGCTTCTTCTTTTCATTATCATATAATCATTATTCAGTTTATCACAAAAACTGAGTATTCATACATCAAAAAATGAGCAGCCAATTACATGATTTTTTTTATTCTTTATTAATAAACAATGGATACTATTCTATTTAATAATTCAAACACAAAAAAGTGAGATAAGACAACTCAAAGCCGCATAAACTTAATTTTGATAGACATTAACTTGGTGATCCATTATTATTGGGTAAAAAATCTTCATGACTACTTACTTTCCGTTTCCTGTTTTTACAAAATATATAGTAATAGCCAATTAGACACCATGCAACACAACCACAAAAAATCACATATTTTAATAAGTAAGCTGAAAACAATTCCAGCATCCACTACACGCAACCTCAACTAAAATAAAGGAATATCATTTGAAGGCTCCCCGGATGCGATTAGAACCTTCATCATATGGGTATTCCATAAAACCTACAACTGAAAATAGTTATAATATTTCCAAATCCATTTAAATAGAACAAAAATTCTAACTACAAATAGCCAGCAGAACAATTTGTCCAACTTTTGATATGGAAATAAAACAAACACCTAATTCAATAATATAGAAGTCTTTGTAAATTTATATTAAAAAAAATCAATATTATAGGGAAATAAGCCAAAGTTCAAATCTCTATCCCTCCCCCCTTAATGAAGCTAATTAAACATCCAAATGTTGTTCAATTATATGAGCTTTCTCTTTCACCCACCATCTTCTCTCTGTCTCTCCCCCCTTTCCCTTCCTCCATCACTCTCTCTCAAACGAAGTCTTCTTTTTGCTATTTGGTTTATAAATCTAGCCAAAGTTTTAAGCTTGATTGTACATTACAAATAATTATAAAAGCTTCTAACGTACCAAACTCTTACCTTCTCTATGTCTTCCTCAATAGCTTCTAGCCTCCTAGGTTTCTTCCAAGACATGTTAGAATTCATTGAGGTGATAGTAGAAGCATCAGTCACAGCTATATCTAGATGAGAAGAAATGAGGAAGCCCATTTACTACCAAATAAAATTAACCCCAAAAAAAGGGAAGATGAAAAATCACACACACAATATATATATATATATATCTTAGAATAACACAGGGGGGAAATATAATTGACCAGAAAATGAAAAAATAGCAGTAGCCACAGAACATTCGCCAAAGATTATATTTTCTATTTCTTTTCTAGCTGACTATGGGATAAACTCATGAGCTGGTGTTGAAAACAGTTACCTGAGCAGTGACCCAACTAGCAAGAGGGAGCTCATCCTACCCTTGAAAATTTATAGTCTCCTTAATTGTGGGCAATGAACTACCCATGACATCAAGTTTTTTTTTCTAAGAACCATTGCTAAGACCACAAACATGGCAACCTTCAAAGAAACAACAGTGTGTTTTCATTAAACATTTGTCATCTAAATGATATGGTATATATATCATATGCAAGACATCATCAAATAAATTGTTACCAGCTTGAGGCATATGTCAAGGAAAAGCTATGCAACAATGCTGATAAAATTAATCAATCTAAGAAAATAGGACAAAGAAGAAACTATACAAAACCTCCCATACAGAGATAATGTCAACATAGCTGCAAAATAGGCAACGAATTTTCTTGCAGAACCATAGAGATAATTATTAAAGAAAACATGAAACAATAAAAGCACAGGGATTAACTTGTTTGAATGAATATTTAATTATTCAGAACCTTGACCTCCCCTCATGTTCATGTGCAGATATGATCAATGCACACCAATTATGCATTAGAAAAATACATGTTAGACCACTGCCACAGCCATCCATGTCAAAAGTAAATATAACCAATATGTTGGTAAGTAGCTATTAAGTAAAGACTCAAACCGCCCTCAAATTTAGTATACTTCAACTTCCAGATATTAGGTAGTATGGTATGATTTCGAAAGCTACCTTAGCTGATGATGCTTGTTGGTCGACATTTTTGGCTACCTTAGCAGCTCCTTGATGATTGGCAAGGTCTGCAAGAATGCCATCCAATGACCATGACACAAATGATCCAAGTTCTTCAAAAAAAATGCTAGCTAATCTAATCACCTGATATTTTGAATATATCCTCGGATATGTGTAAGAGGCATCTACATGAAGGGGGAAAAAACATAATAAGCAAAACCATTAATAAGTAACCATAGATGATTGTATTAAATTATTTCTTATTGGTTGGGGTCAGACTGAAATAGCACTTAAACCTAAATCCAACAAAAACATAAACCCAAAGCTTAATAAAGGCCACAGAGAGAAGAGAAATTGAGATGATAATGTGGAAAGAATCAAATAGAGGGAGACGAAAAGGAACATAGAAGCAAAGAGGGATGAGATGATAGAGAGACCAACCAAGATCATTTTGACTGCCTATGTCATGGAATGAATTTAGAAGTACCAATAGGCATTGGTCTTAATAAGTTACATAAATGAGTACCAGAACATTTTACACCTAATGAAGGTTAATAGAACATCATCAGCCTATGATAATTTATCAAATTTTTATTCATAGGCAAGTTATCAAATTGTATTCATTTCCCTATTCTTTATCACTTTTATGTAGTCTCATAAATAAATTTTATGATATCATATCAATATGGTCTATTTAAGTACTTTTCATAATCTTTAGCTTTCAAATAATTTGCAATACATGGTACAAGAAATTAAAATTTATTATCCAAGAGTGTTATCCTATTCTAGAAAATTAATTAAAAAGTATCATGACTCACAGAAACAAAGACAGAGGTCTAAAGAACATTGTTGAGATCTTCGGTGACAATAAAAACTTGAAGTCTTACAACTCCTACTGCACAAATACCACCAAGACAAAATCGGCATGACAGTGTTTTCTTTGCTCGATCAGCATGGTAAAAAAGTTATATTATATGTTTCTTGTTGTCCCTCTTCCTCCCAGGTCTCTGTAAGTGGCAGCATAAAGTAAATGATGAGAAGGAGACATGGTTAATGGGGAGAACATAATTATCAAGTTACAAATAAAAATGAAGCATATATCAAAATCTTTAACACTGTTAATAAATGAACCAATTTGAGCAAAGTGATGTAATAAGCCACGTGTTCTAGCTGACAAATTTTTAACCCAACCTATTTCAAATATTTGAATTATGGAACAAAATAAAAAAGGAAAAAGAAATAATGATCAGGAAAAAAAAGAAAACACAAGAAAAAGTGGAATGAAAAATTGAGGGATTAGTGAGTGCTTGCCAAAAAAGTCATATCACATGCTTCTTGTTGTCCCTCTTCTTCCCAGGTCTTTGTAAGTAGCAGCAGAAAGTAAGTGATGAGAAGGAGCAAGGCTCATATGCCCTTCTTAATTAATAAAGACGTTGCTTAAGTAAAAAATTGTCTTTTTACGGACAAAAACAAAAGCAAAAGCATGCCTTTTATAAATGTTGTAATTACAACCAGGAGTCAATGATTCATCATTCTTTTTCATTTGAATTTAGTTTACAGTGGTAAAAATCGTAACATTCAAGTTTGATGAAGAGCAAGAATTAATATATGCCACAATTTACATCGAAAGGATCTAGGAAACGTACTTATAAAAACTCATTGAGGTGAATTCTACGGTCCTTCTCAAGTATAATGGAATACTGTCCAATTAATCATTCACTTCAGCACATAGATACTGCCCGGCAATGATATTAATGCAGTTTGCCAAGTAATTTGTGCATAATTGACTCCCAGTCGTTAGGAAAAGTGATCCATTTATGTATATATTAGGGTCACAAAATTCTTATTTTTTAAAAAATGAGTTACCAACCATTCAATTCAGAAAAAGGAAAGATGCAAAATCACACACACAATACATACATACATACATACATACATACATACACACACACACACAGACATATATATATATATATATATATATTAGAATAACAAAGAGGAAAAATAATTGACCAGAAAATGAAAAAATAGTAGTCACCGAAAATTCGCCAAAGATTGCAAGGCATCTGATTTCATAGCAGGATTTCTCAACTTATAGAATAAATCGATAAACTGAAGAAAGATCACAGAGAAGATAGCATTGTTGCAGAGAAAGATTATACCTAAACAGTGAAGATAGAAGATGCCTCTCTCCAGGGAAGGGAAGACGAAGAACGCACGGTGAGGTCGTGAGGGAGATGAAGTCGAAGATGAGGTTATTTGGAAGGGAAGGAGGAAGCTCGATCGGTGGGAGTGAAGACAGACAGAGGGTGCGACGACGATGAAGGAGAAGCTCAACGGTGGGCACAGCAGGAGAGAGGGCCAGGGGCGAAAGGGCGATAATTTCTTCCGAGGGATTGAAGGGTCTAGAAGGTGACTAGGTGAGAGAGAAACCCAATTGACATTTTTTAAAAAAAAAAAATAAAACTAAACAATGGAAGCCACATCAGGAAGGGCATTTAGGAGAAATTACTGCGGGATACACTCATGAGATGGGGCTAATAGAGGGAAAACACTTTGGCTATAAATTATTTTTCGAAAAGCATCTATCAGATGGTGCAAAATAAGTCATGAACTTTTAAAAACGGAGCATCTAATAGCCTGCCGTTAATTTAAGTTAACAGACGTTATGTGGGGCTCATAATAACACGTGACATGACACGGGTGTGACACACCCACGAACTATTTTCTTAGAAGCACTGGGTAGCCTCTACTATAAAAAAAATAGATCATCTAACACCTTCCCCTCAATTTTGACCAAAAACCGTTTATTTTCATGAGGCCTATAAAGCATTAATCTCTCTAATCTTCTTACTTTCATTATCAATATAAGCTTCAGAAAAAGAGATTCAATAAGTTCTTATATGAAGACATTCACAAGGACAATACCAATGAAGTATAAGCTTGATTTTACTATGCATGAGAAAAGCTTGATTCTAGCTTAATTTAGTCATGAATTATTTCTTCTACTTTGTTAGCGTCATTTTCATGTTGAGATTGAAAAGGAAGATGGAGAGATTGAAAACCTCTTTTTCTCGAGTTGAGATTGAAAACAAAGGCAAAAAGATGGAGAGATTAATATTTTGTGGGCCTTATAAGTATAAAAATAAATGGTGTTTGGTCAAAATTAAGAGGAAGGTGTTGGATAATCCACTTTTTTATAGCAGAAGCTACCTAGTACTTTTCAAAAAATAGTTCGTAACTAAATTTGCACCTTTACCACGCTGACGTGTCACGCTCGTGTCATGCCACGTGTCATTGTGGGCCCCACATAACATCCGTTAGCTGAAATTAATGGCGGGCTACTTGATGCTTCATTTTTATAATTCGTGATTTATTTTGAACCATCTGATAGTTTAAGCTATCGAATACTTCTCGAAAAATAGTTTATGATTAAATTTGCACATTTATCTTAAAAAGTAGAAGGACTTTATAAGATATAAGATAACTATAAGATATAAGTTAGTAGCCCCTGGCGAGTCATCACTGGGGGCTCCACACAAACACACACAAATAATAGCACCTAGCGTGTCATCACTGGGGGCTCCACACACACGCAGATGCTAGTTAGTCCAGTTGGTTCACTGCTAACCCTAGCTATATGTGCATGGGGTCCCGTTGATGAAGCCACACATACACATACAATAATATGATGTCTATTAATTAACGTGGGTTTATTGTTGAAACGATGAGAAAAATAGCTATTATTGTTCAACTTTTTTTTTCGGTAACAAGGGCAAGCCAAAGCTTCAAGAAACAAAAAGGTAAAAACCTAAACTAATATATAAGAATTGCAATGGAGTCCCATCTTTGACGTCCAATGTCAGCTAGAGTTCACACAGAAACGTGGAATTCAACAAGTCTACAAGAATATAGGACTACATATATTTAGATACTGATGAAAAATAGTTATTTAAATGGAAAACGTGGAGTTAATGTCTAAATAGTTATTGTCCATTGTCCAAATATCTCATTGATGAAAAATTTGTACCTTCGAATTCCATCAAGTCTACAAGAATATTTGGACCCAAGGCCATTTCTTGTTGACTTGTTTTCCATCTTGAACTCCAATAAAGCCACACACACCTGCAATGACTAATTGAACTACTTTTTTTTTCTTTTTTTGTTTTTTTTTTATAATAATGACTAGTTGAGCTTTGAACCTAACCTATCGCAGAACTTTTCTCATTATTATACATTTAAATTCCATTATAATAATAATAAAAAAACTGTTCTCATTATGTGTGCTGAAACTTGCTTCCTATTGTCATTTATTGAACTTACAATAGGAGGTACTCGTTGTATTAATAGAATAGAGAAATAAAATTAATTTTAATCCTATTTATAAGGCATTTTATTATTTTCTATATCCATTTTTACCTTTATGTGTTTATTAAATGTTGGAAAAAATTACTAAAAATAATTCTTTTTATTCTTATTAGAGATAGATATAGAAACTTATTTAATTTTAAGATTAAGTTAAAAATAGTATAAGAGGAAGTAAGTTGCAGCACATATAATGAGAAAAGTTTTCTGATGTTTTTGATTATACACCAAAGAAATAAAGAAATCGCACATGGTGTAATCTAGTTTATAATAATGTTTTAGTTAATTGACGCATATAGTTAGTGATGCATGTAATTTAATTAATATTTTTATCATACCCAGCCACTTTTTAAACTGATCAATGATCATTGAACTGGTGCTTGACTCTTTATACCGGAAGTTTTTATACCAGTTGCAGAACTGGTGCAAATATATATGCTAGAATAGCTAGCAATAATTAATGGTGAGATAGCCAATGTAAATAATCTAAGGTAAGCATTAAGCAAATTTAACTAATTGATCTAGTATTTGTATATTTAAAGTAAAAGTTTAAGCTGAGACAAAATTAAAATCAAATAAAGCTAATTATGTATGGATGCCTTGTATTGAGAAATATACATAATAGATAATTGATAATTGATAATTATGACCCCGAAATAGCTTTTGCTTTTGTCATGGAGAGAAGGGACGTTGAAAATATACAAGTATAGCAATTTGTGTATGTGTACATAAAAGAAAATTAAGCAAATAATAATATTTTCGAAAAATAAGCGAGTGGTAGGCCATTGTAGCGTATATAATTAGATTAGAAATATTATGTTTGGGGTACGCATTTAGTTAATGAAAGAGGGAATTTTGATCCTTAGAAATGTTTAAGATAATGATGTTTTTGCAAGAATATTTTAGTCATTGCATTTAGCTATTGATGTTTATAATTTAATAATTTAGTTTTCATAATGATAAATATTTTGACTTCAAGACCACCTATTTAACTACTTATCTTTTTTATTTTTGGTAGCATATTTGGACTACTATTTATTCACATTGATAGTAGCTTGCAGACATGGGGCGCCCGCCACGCGAAGTTCCGTAATGGAGAAGTAGTCAAACTCACTATTCATTAGGACTAAGTTAATGTTTGAATTTCATGTAGACCAATCATTTTTTAACTTGTACGTGTCTCAAACACAAGCTTTAGAGGGAATGATTTTTAAGTCTTATTTATGGAACACGCTTTTAGCTTTTCATCATAAGTTTCTTTTTTTTTTTTTCCCTCATTAATCATTGGTTTATTGGATGGGGGAAAAATTAAAAAAAAAAACTTTCAACAATAATTAAAAAATATTTTTAGTGAGAGACAATACGTTATTAAAATATATATATTTATTATGATGATCAACGTTAAAAAATTTCTTAAATTTTTAAAGAGTTAATTAGTATAATTTTTGATGTATTTATGGATTAATAGAGATTTTTTTTATTAAATCACTCATTTGCATATAAAAAATTTATGGCTAAATCTATTTCTTATAATATTTATTATGTTATATATTTTATTATATATACATATAAAGTTATATTTATAGAATTTTTTAAAATATAATATTTCAATTTAAGATATCATTAAGTTATGAGATATCATTGAGGATAATAAAATTTCTTGAGTGTGGCCCGAAGCAATTAGTTGTATTTAGGTTTAGAGATTTGCTCAGTATAAATTAACTAATGAAATAACTCTGATAAGGAGTTATAAATAAAAGCCTATAGATTAAGTTACTTATGAAAAATTGTTGCCCTTTAGGAGGGTCCCTGACTAGTGACGACTCTTGTATAGTTGGCATCAGTGAGCCTGCGTGCTAATCAAAAGATTCCTTCTTTCTTCTAACAGTCCCTCTTACGATTTTCAGCTATGGTGAGGGTGGAATAATTCTGCATCAAATCATCTAGTAATGATGAGAGGTAAGCTTAAATCATTTGATTACAAAAATTTAATATATGATTTTGCAGCTCAAAAGCTAGAAAAGTGATATATATGAAGATAGATAAATAATACTTCCTCAATTGTATTAACAGATCCTTATTAGATAAGTGTTTTTAATTTAATTATTTTAAAATTATTATGCTTTTTTTAAAAATAGAATTATTTTAAAATTGTTTTCATTGTATTTTTCTTATTTTCAAAATAGATTATATTTTATTATTGAAAATTATAGATATTTTAACCAATTACTATCATAAACTACTGCCATCAACTGCTAGCGTCTAGACAACCATTATAGTCGTTTGGTTTTTTTAATTCTAAAACTGTTTTTAAATTAACACAATCAAACATATTTTTTGTTTTATTTTAAAAAAATAATTCAAAAAACAAAAAAAAATTCCCAATTATTAAAGTCTAAAGAACACGAGTGGAACTGGAAGGAGATGAAGATTGAGGATAGACGTTTTTTTAACTAAAAAAAAAATAATGTGAATGCTTTTATTAAAGTCTAAAGAAAACGAGTGGAATTGGAAGGAGATGAGGATCCAGGAGAGACTTTTATGAGATAATGATGATAACCATTTTTCACCTGTACATGTGTCTAGCCCAAGTCTTTGGTGATTGAAAAAATTAAAACTTCTTTTCCTTGGTAATTAATGATCAAACGCACCTTGGTCCTACATTCACAAGCCATAGAGAAAATGTTTGTTTTTTTAAGGGAAAATTGCCCAAAAAAATCTCACCACAAATTTATTTGTCAAGGAGTTGGGACAAATTTTGAAAACGGATACTTCGTTGGAATTAATTGGTGAGAGCTAAATGACATAAACCTTGTTGTAAAAAACCTTCACTATCAATGATTTGGAATACTAGAAACATGAGTTTTCAGTCATGTGCAATGATTCTTCCACTATATGTATTTGAACTTCAATTATATGCAAGAAAAATTCTTTTTATTTGAATAACATCTTTTGATATTCTAAATTTTTTTAACTTAGAATCATTTTGGAATAATAAAAGCAGGGTCTTTAGTCATATACA